AAGTCTGAACCACCTGCCCTCTAGCAGCTGTCAATCCACAATAACTTATTTCTGCAGCTTCACCTATAATATTATTAAGATGTGAACATCAGAACCTTTAAGATTTGCTAATTCTTAGTGTCAACAAAACCAAGACCACCAGAACATTAAAGAAAGTTGTTTATCAGCTTCCAGGTAAGGGGCCTTATGTCGGGGAAGAAATGCACCACACAGTTGACTAAGGAGAAAGTTCACGGGAGGTTGTAGGAAAGGCATTCATGATGGGTGCACTATGAAATGTTGAACACTTGCTTTGTGGGTGAACAGAATGAGACCACAGACCTGTACACAGTTTGTTAAACCAAGTTACACATATGTCATTCATTGGTTGGGGAAATGTTTTCAATTAGGTCCCGATCCAAAAGGGATGGTAAACAGGCCCTCCTCAAGTTCTTCTACACTGTTAGCTTTGGCTTTTGAATTCCTCAGCATTTCTGGTCATTTCTGGACAGCAGCACTGGAGGATATACAACACTGCACTCTGATATGTTTAGGCGAGTGGTGTTATCAAGGGAAATTTTCCTTCTACACTTGCAAATATATTGCAGCAAGAAAGGTATTTTGCCCACAAGTTTCAGATGAGAATCTTTTAGGCTGATTATAAAATTCTTTAGCATGAAATCATCATCATCAGCCAAATGACTGGAGGAAAAAAACCACCATTCTCTCTACCCTCTTAAGTTTAGTGACTGGGGGCCTGTGAATTAAACTGACAACAGGAGAATTAATAGGATAAAAGGCATACAAACTTATTAATTGTTAATTTTACATGCATGGGTCATCAAAGAAGGAAATGAATGTCCAAAGGAGCAGTGAGATATGAAAGCTTATATAGCTTTTTAGTTGGCTAAAGGAGGGGACAAAGGCCACTTGGGGTAGAGATTTTTAGGAAAGATAAGTGGGCCTTTAGGGGAATAGGTGGAAGCCATGATAGTTGGTGATGTCTGTTTTGGCCTGGTGCCAACTTCTCTTCTCACCTGTGATCAGTCTTCCCTACTGACAAAACTCATGGAGGTTTATGACCATATACAGGTTTTTTGGAGGGTCTGTTTTTAGCAGATAAGGGGGTTCAGAGAAAGCCTGTACCTATATTTGTGGATCCTCAAATGTCTGCATTACACCAGATACATGTATTTTGTGGCTTATTTTGAATTTCGTACATAATCATCACTTTACCTTTTCCCAAATTTGAGATAATTTCTTTCTTTCATACCATAACCATAACAAAATTTAAATTTACTCAAACAATGGCATTGAAAACATTTGTAACCAAATATCTGATTTGGTGGAGCTTTTCCAACAGTTAATATTCATCTTATTGGCCATTCTTCACTAATAAAACATTTGAATCAGACTTCAGAGTCTGTTTCTCTACCCTGTGTTTTGCTAAGGAACTGGTTTGGGTTCTAATAGTATCTGCAAATGAGTAGGAACCAGCTGTCAACAGATAGAAACCATGTTTCACCCCCCACCCCCTTGGTCCAGCTCTGAGCCTTACAGAAGCAACTGAGATCACATCTCCCACACCTTGGGTGGGCTGACATGAAAATGTTGCAAATATCTATCATTTACATGGTGGAAAATTTGCACCTAGTATTAGAAACCTTAAACATTATCAACAATACCATATCAAGATTTATTTATAAGATTGTTAATTGAAGATTTGTTATAATAGAAAAACTGGAAGTAGCCAAAAAAGGAGTTAAAAATAATCATTATACAATGCAATACTTTGCATCCCTTAGTAAGAATATTAAGAAAATGCATTTAATAATATCCATCCTAAAAGATATGTGGTGACAAGGAGAAAATTCTGAGATGTTCTAATTAAATTACAGTGGCCAGGGACTGAGACAAAAAGACAGAGCTGATAGTCTGTTAATGGTTGCTGATCAGCTAACCAAAACCTGACCCTGACTGTTCCTGTTTTGCTGGCTGGAACTGCGGTTTACTTTCCAGGGCTCTTTCCGTGTGTTGTTCAGCCAGGCACCACACGAGGGCTTCCCGGGACATTTGTTTAAGTGGACCCTGTGTCTGTCCCAGAGCTGACCCCACTTCAGTCTCCCACCCCTTGCCTATAGCTATTGCAAATTCTTTCAGACTATCTCTTTCTTCCCATTTCCTCCTACTTGATGTATGGAAACACTTGCAAAACTCTGGGATGGACAAGCTGTCTTTTCTACCTAGCCATGCTACTGGTGCTTTAGACTTCATGCCCCAAGAACCTGTCTTTTGGCTGGCATTTTTGGTTCAATAAAACCTTTGCTTCAATAAAAAAGACTTCAGTCATGGAAGTTAAAGATTTTTAGTTTAACAGAAGTAATATCTCATCATGGTTTTGATTTGCATTTCCCTGATAATTAGTGATGGTAATTATTCTTTGGAGAAATGTCTATTCAAGTTCTTTGTCCATTTTTCAACTGTGTTGTTTTGTTTTGTTTGTTTTGCTTTTTGTTTTGCTATTGAGTTGTAGGAGTTATTTATATATTTTGGAATTAACCCCTTATCATTTATGTGATTTGCAATATTGTTCACTTGAAAATTTATTAAGAGGGTAGACCTCATGTTAAGTGTTGTTAACACACACACACACACACACACACACACACACACACATACCCTAACATGACACAAAGACACTTTTGGAGGTGATGGATATGTTTATTACGTTAATTGTGGTGATGGTATATCAGAAGTGTATACATTTGTTTAAACTCACCAAATGATATACCTTAATTATATTCAGTTTTTTAATACACCAATTATACCTCAATAAACCTGGGAAAAAGAAAAAAAGAATAAAATGGTTTTTGAAAACCTATTTAATTGTATAGAAAGACATATGTGCAAAGTGTACTCCTTTCAGAATTTTTTAAATCAATGGGTGCATGTGTGTGTTCGCAGAGCAAAGACTATAAATACACATCAAAATACACATGGGAATTATTTCTGGGTAGTAGGATTCTGGGTTATTTAAATGTTTTTATGTTTTCTTATTTGTACTTTCTAGATTTTCAATACAAAGCACATAATTTAATAAGAAAAACACATGTGATTAAATGTTGGACATTGAAAGCCCGAAGTATGATGATAACTCTATCAAAGTAAATAGAAAGCACTGTGTGTTTTTTAAAGTTCAGATAAGTAAAAACTAAACTTGTTGGTCATCAGGAGACCAAGTAGAGAGACCAAACATAAGTGTAAGCGAGTAGGGGCTATTCCAGAGGGACTCCTGTAGAGGCTGGAGATGATCTGCACCTGGGGGAAGTCAAGGCCTTGCCTTTGAAAGGGCTGGCATCCCTGTTGTTGCACACAGCACTGAGACTGCAAACAAAGCTGGATTTTCCTGCTGTGTTCAGTCAATAGTCACAGCTGCCATCAAATCACTGCAGACTACCTTCCAGGTCACCAGAAGCTCGCTTTTACTTGTGTCCTATCTGTTGTACAGATAAAGCACATGAGGTCTAGGAGGTTCAGTGGTGAGCCTTCAGCAGTGGAATTAAAGTCTCCTTTAATTTAAAAAGGGTAAAGTCTCCTTTACCAGATTGACTAGTGTGGGCAGAGGGGGAGTGACAGCAGCTGAGGAAACTGGAGACTTTTGCTGTTATCACATCTCTAGCGTTCAGTGACTGGGACCCCAATAGGACCTAATTATTGAGCATTTGGGGCTTGAGGAGTTTATTTGTGATTAATAAATGGTTTATTGCTGTGGTTCTCAAACTTTAGCAGGCAGCAGGAAGAACACACCCTCAGAGTTTCTGATTCAGCAGGTGTGAGTTGGAACCCGCTCATTTGCATTTCTAACAAGTTCTCAGGTGACTCATGCTTTTGACTTAGGACGAACAGAGTGGCCTCAGCTGCAAGCTTGTTAGAAACATGAATTGTTGACCTACTTTGCCACAATCAGAACCTGCATTGAACAGAACCCTCAAATGGTCAGCATAGATGTGGAAGTTTGGGAAGCAGGGCCCTGGGGAATAGGTTCTCAAATATGAGTTAGGTAAACCCAAAGCCCGGAATGGGACATGTGATCCTCCTGCTTCAGATATAATATTCTCAAGCTTATGATTAACACATAAAATTGAGAAATTATTATAAGATACTTGAAACCTCTGGCAGTGAGTTAAACTTTGTCAGCCTTGGTATCCTTATTCAGAAACAATAAAGAATTGGAATAGGTAAACATATAGTTTCCGAATTTAGCAAGTGAATTTCATATTGGATAAAAACTGAAGAAAACCAGGCCCCTATCCTGCACTCCACTGGGTGAAAGACACACGCACGAGTCATTTACTCCCCCAGCAGCCACGGCTCAGTCATCAAGCAGCCAACCGCCCTCGAAATTATCGAAATTATCACTGCAGCCAGCTTGAGCTCAGCGGTCCTATGGCGGTGTGGGGAGGAAGCGGGGCCAGACAGTGGAGAGGGCTCTGTGAGGCAGGCTCCGTCCCCGTGTAACGTTAGACTTGGAACAACAACGGGAAGAACTGCTCCGTTACCTGCCTCGAATAACGTCCCATTGCCACACTCTTTGCAGCATTGTCTTTGAAGCGTCAGATCTCTGAGGGAAGGCATTACATTTGATTTGATTTTTACGACTGGAGGAACAAACACATTTCATTTCTTTCTTTTTTTCTTTTAACAGGATTTCTTCTTGTGTGTTTGGAAGAGAACAAACTATTGGGAATCTTGAGATAACAGATTTCTGAGAAAGTCCTTACCCTGTCTAATCTTGCAATCTTGGAATTTCCTTAAAAGCAAAGTGAACCCAGAGTGTTAGATTTATTCTCTCATGTTTCAGTTTAATGTGCCCCTCCCCCAACACCAACACACACACACACACACACACACACACACACACACACACACACACACACACACACTGAAAAAAACATGCCTTTCTTTCTCCTCCCCTTCAGTATGGTCCCTTCTCTAACATGCCTGTCCCCAAGCAGCTAGTGGTTGGCGGGAGCACAAGCCAGTGGTCAGATGCAACATCCTGCCTGGTGTTGCTTTGGTCAAGACTGCCCAAAGTGGAGTGAAGTCAGGAGCTGAGAACCCCAGCCACACTGACGGGATGGGAAATAACCTGCTGAGAGAACTCAAGTGAGTCCTGACTCTGGGCACTGGCCCTCTTGGGAGAAAAACAGCAGGGGAAGGAGGCTGGGTTTACACCTTCGGAACGGAATGAGGGGTCGGGGGATGCACTTGCCCTTTAAGAAGGTTGAACCTGAATGACCTCCTCTAAGAACACACAGCTCCCCTGCCTGCCCACATGCACTCCTTCTTTTGCCTTACTTTGGAACCATGGTAGGTTGTGAGATTTAGAAAATAAAACTGCAACATGCCGAGTCAGATTTGAATTTAAGATAAACAAATACTTTTTTTTCTTTTTAGTATAAGCACGCCCATGTAATAATTGGAGCATTATTGCATGGGTCATACTTATACTAAAAAAGTCGTCATTTATCTGAAATTCAAATTTAACTGTGCATCCTGTATTTTATCCAGCAACTCTAGACTATGGTCACTTGAACCTTTCTGCACCTCTTTCCTCATTTGGGTATATAGATTATCTTTCTATTCATCAGCTTCAAAGGGTCAGTATGAGAACAAAGAGACAGGTTCTTGAAAATAATGCACTCAAATGCTTTTGATTTAAATACTGCCTTCTATTGGTGATTTTTATCTCTATCATTTTCAAATGCTTTTGAAATTTTAGGACAGATATGGATAACAGGTGTTAATTGTTTTTACATCTTGCTTAATCTTAAAGAATTTTCTCCACAACACCCATCCATTCTCCCTAACTCCTTCCAGACAGTCTTATTATAATTGACATGTAGTTGACATATAATATTGTATAAGTTTAAGGTGTGCAATGTGTTAGTTTGATACACTTGTATGCTGCAATGTGAGTACCACCATACTTGTAGTGTTTAGCAAACGCTTGTATCCCATCACATAATTATCATTTCTTTTTTGTGGTGGAAACCGTTAAGATCTAGTCTCTTAGCAACTTTGATGTTTATAATAAGTATTGTTGTCTGTAATCACTGTGTTGTTAATGAATGGGACTTGCAACTTCTAGTTGCAAGTTTGTACCTTAAGTGACATCTCCCAATTTCCCCACCTCATAGCCCCTGATAATCACCATTTTACTGTTTCTACAGGTTCACCTTTTGTAGATTTCACATATAAGTGAGGTCATACACTATTTGTCTTTCTCTGTCTGACTTATCTCACTTAACATTATTTCCTCAATGTTCATCCATGTTGTCACAAATGGGAGAATTTCCTTCTTTCTCATGGCTAAATAATATTCCATTATGGAGATGGAGATAGAGATAGAGATAGAGATGATAGACATAGAGATATATCACATCTTCTTTATTCATCTGTTGATAGACACTTAGGCTGTTTCCATGTCTTGGTTATTGTGTATAATGCTGCAATGAACATGGGAGTGCAGATAGCTCTTTGATATCCTGTTTTCATTTCCTTTGTATATACACCCAGAAGAGGGATTGCTGGATCATATGGTAGTTCTATGTTTAATTTTAAAATATTGTTTTCCATAGTGGCTGAACCAACAGTGTACAAGTGTTATCTTCTCGCCAACAGGGTATAAGTGTTCCTTTTTCTCTACATCTTTGCCAATATTCGGTATCTCTTGTCTTCTCCCCCTCCCCCTACTCCTACCCCTCCCCCTCCCCTGCCCCTGCTGCCTTCTTCTTCCCCTTCCCCCCTCTCCCTCCCCCTCCTCCTTCTTCTTCTTTTTGGTCTTTTCTCTTGTCTTCTTGATGGTAGCTATCCTAACAGGTGTGAGGTGCTACCTCACTGTGGTTTTGGTTTGCATTTCCCTGATGATTAGTGATGTTTCCATGTACCTGTTGGCCATTTGGAAGTGCCTTTTAACACAACTGGATTTAGCTGGCCATGCAAGTGTCCAATCACATTACTCCTCGTTCTCATGAGTGTATCCTTTTCTCACTAGCTCACATGGAAAATGTGGACCATCTGTTCTGGAATTTAAGGTTCTGTATATTCTGTTTTAATCACTACCTTCTTGTTCTCTTCTCACTTTGAGCATTGCCTCCACTGTCTTGCATAGCAACTGGCTTCTAATTAAGCATTTCCTACCTCCTGGCATCTCAAAGGCAATCATTGCTTAGACTGTATCTTTGCAGTCCCTATGCCTCCCTAGAGCTTAGCACAAAGCAGACATTTAATGAATGTTTGCCTAGTTAGTTTACTTAAATATGCCCATCTGCCCTTTCTGCCATAAATGTGTTGTATGGACCTATACCCTTGTTAAACTCGTTCTTATTTTGATTCCAAGTGTGTGCTTTGGCTGTCAGAACTTTTGCTCTGAAGTTTCTTTCAATACTCTGTGACTTGTAAACTATATTTATGTATATTTATGACACTAAACACATTCTGTCTAGTGCCATGGTTATAACTGTATGTCTTTTAGATTATGATTCTTTGGTCACAAGGTCAATGCCCTTGATCTCTGAAAATCCCTGGAGCCCTTGCTCATACTCTGCAGAGAGAAGGCCCTCACATGTGTTTCCTGGCTTCTGCGAAGAAGTGCATGGAATTCCCAGCCTTCCCAGCTGAGGGAAGCAGAGGGTCACATGGTCTGCTTTGGAATACTGAGATATAAAGCTTTCTGTTTTGAGTTGTCTCCCTCTCCGTGTGGATTTAAAATTTCCCACTTATAGCTGTTGCCGTATTCGGATAGGATAGAAGGTCTGTGGGAGCAGCATGACATTCCCTTACATTATAAACTTTAAAGCAGCAGGAGCACGCTGACTCAATCCAAACACATTTTTTTATAAATATATCTTATATTTATTATTTTTTTTAATTGGGGAATTGGGGGGATGGGAACAGCGCTGGGGAATTGGAGGAAGGGGAACAGACAAGTTGCTGTCCTTTTGTTCTTCAGTCTAGTTGTGGAGGATGTTGCTTCACTGGCCCAAGTTGGCACCATCATTGCGCTCTTCCCGGGTGAGGCAGATCAGTCGCCGGCTTCTGGACGGCCACTCCCTGCGGATGCTGGCCGCTCACACTGGCTGCTGGCTACATACGGTAGCCCATGGCAACCCACTGCCACAGGGGCTGCAGCCTACACCATCGCTGGCGACTCACAGCAGCCCAGCTCCAGGTTGAGCTGTTGTTCAGCATCTTAGCTGTGGAGGGCAGTGTCACTGGCCCTCATATGTGGGATCCGAACCAGGGCCCTCTGGCATCCCAAGCCAGTTCTTAACCATCGCACCACTTGGCTGGCCCTCAAACATTAAATGAGGCCATTTAGACGCAGAGAAAGGGAGCTCACGAATCAGAGGTCCTTGTCACAAAGTCTACTTCTCACTTTGCCTTTCAGCCACTGCTCTCTCTTTCTCTGCTTAGGGTCCTATGACTCACTTTCTGGAGAAGCCTGTTTGCAGGATGCCAGTCTATTCTAAAATCCAGGCAGAGGCTAACAAGAAAGAGGAGGACATGGCCTCAGGTCTCGTGGTTGTACCTGTGAGTGAAGCCTCCACAGTTCTGGCCTTTTTTCAGTCAGTGCCCACACACATTGCTGAAACCAGACAGATTCAGTAGCCCTGAATGCAATGGCAGGTCTAGGAAAGGAGCTAATATGCATTGATAATAATGACTGATAACTATACCATGTATTCTTTCTGCCTAGCACAGTGTTAAAAAGTTTACAGGATTATCTTGTTACTTTTCCAAAACTACTGTATGAAGTAATTGTTATTATTATACTCATTTACCATGAGCTTGGAAAAATGCAATATTAAATATAAAAATGTGTCTCATAGTTGGATACATTTATTAATTGGTGAGGGGAGGTATTTTATTTCCAGTAAGTGAAATCGGGGTGATTTCTGTCTAGAGCGCTTTGTGTGTTAGGAAACTTGGGAGGTGGATGAGCAGCAGTGCTTGGAGATCACACAATCAGAGAAATAAGAGATGGAGAGTTTCTGATGCATAGTTCACCCAGGAAATCATGAAACTGGATGAAGCTTGTGTTTGATCCTGGTCCTTCTTTTCCTGGAATCCTGGACAAGCTCCTAGGTCTTCCTGATACAATGTCTCCATGTCCACAGTGGGGATAAGAATGTAGCCACATTATTAGGTTTAGTTGTGAAGATAAAGGGAAACTATGTAGGAACATAGTAGATGATTAATTAGTCAGTGATGGCTACTGGTTAGCTAGCTCAGTGCTCTGAAGTCCATCTGGTTTTCAGGCTTTTGCGCATTTTGTTTCAGTGAACTACTCTTCAGAATTATTTGGTTCATGAAGAATCTCATTCAATGCAGACACGACTGAGATGGAAGAATTCTACTTCCTGGAGTGTATTCTAGCAGGGGTAGGGGTAGCAAACACCTATAAATCATGCAATTTGGGTAGGGATGAGCGCTATAGATGACATACGGCAGAGGGCAGGGTGCAATGTCGTGGAGACCTGACCTCTGAGGAGAGACCTGGATGATTGAGATGAACAGGTTAGGAAAAGACCTGGGGGATTGGCCTCCAGATAGACCTTAGGTAAGGAACCGAGGAGGGGGTGGGCATGGTGAGTAGTGGAATGGTGAGGGTGGGGGGCTATGAGGTTAATGAAATGAATTAGGTTATTACATGACCACTTCACACCCTACAGCTTGTTGTCATGACTTTTTTCTTAGTGTTTTTGTGGTATAATTGGTATGCCAAATAGCGCACATATATAATATACACATTATTTTGATTTTGGACCTATGCAAACTACTGTGATACCGTCACCACAACAAAACACTAAATATATATCCATCACCTCCAAAAGTTTTCTTGTGTTCTTTTGAGGGGTTTTGTTATGTTTTTGTTTTATGTTAAGAACACTTAACATGAGATCCATTCCATTATTATATTGTAAATTACACAGTACCATACTCTTGACTATGGGTACGATGCTGTACAGCATATCTCCAGAACTTATTCATGTAGCAGAACTGAAATTTTGTACCAATTGAGCAACAACTTCCCATGCTCCTTTTCACCAGCTCCCAGAAGCCACCATGCTACTCTCTGCTTCCATAAGTCTATTTCAGCT